TGTTTCAAGTCCCTCCCAATCCTCCCAGTTTCTGACATCCCCCCTCCCCTCCTCACTGCCAGGTCTGCAGGATTAGGGGTAGGGCTGTGTGGAGAACTCTACTGGCAGCCTCCAAGCTGTGCCAGGCAAACATTCACCAAGGGCCAGGGCCAACCCTGGAGCCGCAAATCCCCCATTGTTAGCTCTTCAGGGCTCCATCCCATCAGCAGCGCTGCCAGGTGAGCCTAAGTTCAAAGGCACCGAAGAACAGACATGAGAGTCTGGCCCCCAGGTGGCTCTGGGGATTTGGGTCTGGCTTTGAACCTTGTGTTGGGGGATTCCCCCCCACCCCGGCCAGCAAAGTGTGTTAAGATAATGGATTTACGGCAGAGCTGGGGCACAGAGTTTGGGGTGAGAGGCTGGGGGGTTTCAGTGCAATACCAGATGGCTAAGCCAATTATGTGACATAACAGCATTGCACAAGCTATCAAAGCAGGAGGCGACTGCCTCCCTGGGTGCTTACTGTCCCGCCGAGGCAAGCTGGCCTTCCCCAGGAGCTGCTCTCGGGTCTGTGGGAGGTGGAGAGTGGGCAGAGTCTGGCAGTGGGTAGTTTGGCCCAGGCTTTGCCCTGCTTTGATTCTAGTCCGTAAACTAATTCACGTGATGTTTGTAGGTACAGGCCTCAAAGCAGAGCACTCCCATCCTGCAGTGATGGGCACTGACACGCAAACCACGCTAGACAGGGCTGGGGGCAGATAAAACGGCGAGGAGCACGGCTTAATAAGCAAGCTCCTGCTGTGAAAGACATGGCCAACAAATATCACTGAGTCCTTTCTCTCTCTCACTGTTTGCCCATCTCTGGACGTAGGTGGGAGGAAGTCTCTCAGGCTTTGGGGTGGGTAGTTTACCTCAGAAATAATTATCGGCCTTAACTATTCCCCTCTTCCAGGCCACAGTGGCCAGCTGAGAACAGACATGTGCAAGCGTGGCACACACATCACTTGAAAATGTGCCTCTCCTGCTTGGAAAGGTCACGCTCTAGGGGTCAGAGTGGCAACTGCCTGCACTGCCAAGGAGGTAATTTTCTTGTAGAAAATTCACCTTTAGGGCTGTCAGAGAAGGCAGCATGGCCTAGTGGACAGAGCACTGGACTGGAAGTCAGGAGACCTCACCTCTAATCCTGCCACTGACCGACTGTGTGATCTTGGACCAATCACTTCACCTCTCTGTGCCTCTGTTTCCCCTGCCTCCATTAGTCTATTTAGACAGTAAGCTCTTTAGACCTGGCAATCTG